CTCAGTGTTTTTTATGTTTTACAATAGAAATATCAAAACATCATTAAATCAAGATACATTTACTTGAGTTGCAAATTGAACGTGAAGTCTTGTTTTTTGAAAAAATAAATAATGAGTTTGAATGAGTTTATGCTTAAAACAAGAACAAACATCTGTAAGGAGTATGAAAAAATGTTTTCCCATTAAATTAAGTAGATTTTTCTTAGCCCATTGTATCTTCATTTAAGAATCTTTAGACATTTGCAATGGAAAAGAAGACAAAATACATAGGAAGAACATCACTTTATTGCAGTGTGATCAGAAGGTACAGTAAAAGTTAGGCTTTTTGCTTATTCTAGTGGTTGTAGCCTTTATTTCTAAAATGAATTAAAAAGTAATGGAGATCTGTTGGAAGTTGTCTCTTCAAACTTTGAAGCATTGCTAATAGAAGACATTTGCATTTAGGGACAGTGTAGACTTACTGTGTTCCATTCAATTTATTCCTTGCATTTTTTTTAAATGGTCTTAAATTTACCTTCATAAAACCTGCAGAAACCCTGGATTGGAAGTACACAATGTTTTTCACAGTAAATAGTGTACAATTCAAAAAATAAACAAACAGAAACAAAAAAACCTCAGGAATCATTACTTTGCTTTGGAGCCACATTCAAGAGTCAAGACAGAAAACAGAAACACAAGTTTCTGAATGTGTGTGTGTGTGCAGGAGAAACCGGTTCAAGTCACAGTAGCCGAAATGCCAGTGTGGAGAGAGGACCTGGCAGAGACAGACAGTCGGATACATCAGACAGCGAGACGACAGACATCAGGAGGATCAACCATCAGCCTGGCACCAGAGATGGCAGATATGACCCCAACAGGTGAGTCGGGAGGGACTGGTGAAACAGTCAGTCCAGGCTTGTCTTATTAATTCAGCATGAGATATTTTGGCAGGGGCATGTATCATCCTGTTTGTTAATCTTATAATGGCTTGTTTTGCAGATTCCGTCTGCACTTTGAGAAGGAGAGCAAGGAGGAAGTGGAGAGGAGGAAAAAAATAGCGAGGGAGAAAATCCTGAAGCAGGTGGCAGAAAAGGAACTAGAGATTGATATGAACCAGATCTACCCAGAAGAGAAAGGTATTTATGCAATAGCTTTACTATTTAAAATAATAGTTGTTTTCTACTTTAATATATTTAAAAATGTAATTTATTCCTGTGAATTACCCCAGTCTTCAGTGAAATCATTCTAATAGGCTGATTTGGTGCTCAATTTCTATTTTTTATAAGAATGGGGAAAACAGTATAATATTGCTTAATAGTTTTCTGAAAATCATGTTACATTTTTCAGGATTTTTTTATGAATATAAAAATAAAAATAATTACTTAAAACAGCATTTATTTTGAATAAGAAAACTTTAGTAACATTTTAAATGTCTGTGTTATCACTTTTGATCTATTAAAAAAACAGACTTGCACAAATAGTGATGTGACGTGTAGTCAAGTATGATGTCCCATACTCGGAAATTGTGCTCTGCATTTCACCCATCCAAGTGCGCACACACACCATGAACACACAGCCAGAGCAGTGGGCAGCCATTTTACTCATTCACTCCCCTCGCCTATATTTCCTCCCGTTACTGAGACTCAAACCCACAACCTTTGGGTTACAAGCCCGACTCTCTAACCATTAGGTCACAACTGCCCATCTATTTAATGCATCTTTGCTAAAAAAAAATAATAATAATAATCATACTGACCCCAAACTTTTGAACGGTAATGTATATAATATATGTACTATAATTATGTTACCCATTTTGTCATTGAACTACTAGTAAAAATAACTATTTAGATTTTTACTGTGATATTGGTTTTGGTCCATGTTGTTATGTCTTTCTTCACTTTCATTTTGTCTAATAACAGGACTGAATTTCCCACGGCGGCCCTCATGGCATTACAACATGCAACGAGAGGAGTTACTGCGGAAAGAGGAGAAGTCATTTCTGGAGTATCTGGAGGCTCTTCAGTCCAAGAACCCACCCGGTACCCTCAGCCACTTTGAGCACAATCTCGAGGTGAGGCATGTTCTGTTACAAAACACACAACTGAAGTACTTTGAAAATGTTTTTTTATCAGCAACCAGAATTGAATTGCTGCTGAGTCAATAGCTGTAATGAAATAGCTTTTTTTTATTGCACTTGAGCATGTGTTTGGCCAGACAGTGCTGGAGGCAAACACTATTAAGTGTTCAAATTCACTGGTTTATGAGCCGATGCTTTTCTCAAGCTATGTGACACATAAAACTGTTGCGTTTGCTTAGTACAAAAGGAGCAACACTTTTTCAACAGTAAAATTTATAATACTAATTAATAGGCATATTTAGTTTATTAAAACAGGCTTTATGATTCCTGTTTGTTTATAATAGCCAGCAGACAACAGAAGCACCACAATATAGTGCAGATAATTTTAAGACAAAGCGTTGTTTCTAAGAACTTATGAACTTGCATCTAAATGTTTCAACCACTTAGCTGAGTAGAGTATTGCATCACAGTGAAATCATTGTTTTTAATAGTGTTGGATTAATGTTGCAATAGGAGACCATAAAATGGCTGAGCCAAAAACCTCTCGAGTCATTATTTTACCTAAAGTTGGCCAAAGGACAAAGAACATGTTGGCTAATCCGAAAGAATACGAATAACAGATTAAGGGTTCACTACTGAAATTCAGACAGCCTGAATAGTGTTCTTTCAAATAACAACTATTTAAAAATCAGTTCATTTTAGTTTTATTTCCTACTGCTGACGGACTGACTCTTTCTCTCTCAGACATGGAGGCAGCTGTGGAGAGTAATGGAGATGTCTGATGTCATTCTCCTCATAGTGGATATCAGATACCCAGTAAGTGTGCGACTTTAACGCCTGTTGAAACTTTTAGCAGTTTTCAAAAGATCATCAAAATTGCATAGCCATTACACTAAATGTAGGGAGTGTCAAATTATGCAAACTGACGTAATAAAATCCCCACTAGGTGGGGCCAGAGATTGTATTACATTTAATCTCAGAAAACAGCACTTTTTGTACTGTTATATACATTTTTAGCAAAAGAAGGTTGGTGTGGAAGACACAGTGTATAGTACTCATAGTTGAGTCATCATTGGCGTTCAGTACAAGCAAACATAATCACTCTGTCTGTAGGTGCTGCAGTTTCCTCCTGCTCTGTATCACTACATCACCGGTGAGTTAAAGAAGTACATCATCCTGGTGCTCAATAAGGTGGACTTGTGCCCCTCCCCTCTGGTGTTGGCATGGAAACACTATCTGACTAAACAGTTCCCACACATGCACTGTGTCTGCTTCACCTCGCACCCAGGACAACCCTACAGCACACGTGAGAGAGTCTTTCCAGTATCAGTGCTTTAGCTATAATATGATCAAACAAATAGATAAGAATACAAATGCTTCCTTCATCTGTACTAACTGCAGTTCTACAGAAGAAGAGGATGAGGAAGAAAGTAGGATGGAATGCTGGAGGCCCGATCCACATCATGAGAGCATGTCAGGAGATCACAGCAGGAAGAGGTTAGACGCCTCCTCCCAGACAACAAAATATCAGTACTGGAACACATGGGATTATTAAATGATGATGATGGTTGTTGTTTATAGTGGATTTGAGTAGCTGGGAGAAGAAGATCCAGAGGGATGCTGTTGCCGTTGGAACAGAGGGGGATCAGGCTGATGATGGATCGGAATCTGTGTTGATGGAGCATCATAGTGATGTTGCCATGGAAATGAACAGCCCCACGCAAGAACTTTATAAAGATGGAGTACTGACATTGGGTTGCATAGGTAAAAGCCTGTAACCATGAAATCAAAACTGAGACTATTTTATTATGGAATATTGCAGCATTTATTCCATAAATGATTTATGTTCACATCATTATTTTTAAAAATGAATGTGCCCTCGTAATCTTTAATCAGAAATATTAGCATCCCCCACCTTCGCTTCAATATCTCTTTTCTCATAACGTGCACTGGCTGTGCAATTGCTTCCTTATTGCAACCTGTCGCTCACAGGAGATTAGCAGCAATTTAAAAAATGACAGCAATGGACCAAATCAAGTCCCTTCCTACATTTTTACCCATTCAAGAGGCCATTTCACTTGAAATTAATAGAATTTCCATTTCACAACAATAAAGAAAAGACAATTATAATTTCCATTTCATTCCAAAACTGAAAAAGTATTGTTCTATATCAGTATCACTTTAATATATCTTTTATATGAAGTATCTTCTCTTTGATGCATAAATTGAAATTCATTCATTAGTTTCAAATTCATCTGGAGACTTTTTGCACTTTCTCCAGGTTTTCCTAATGTAGGCAAATCTTCAGTGCTAAACAGT